TGCATCATATGGATCAAATATTTTCACACGTAATCTATCTTTTGTCTGATGTTCTACAATCACTTTTAAATACTTTGAATCTTTTCCAAAAATGCCACATCCGATATTATTATTATTATAATTAACAGAAATCAGTTCCAAATCAATTTCCCATTTAAGACCATGTTGAAGGTCTTTTTTATAATTTTTAACTTTATATCCATCACACCTTTGTATACGATTAAAACATTTTAAAGGTGATGAGGATCTGTAATGCCGTTGCTGATCAACGCCATCACAATCAACATTATTATTAACATCATCATCACTATCATCCCAACAACAATTAAGTATATTGTTACAATAATATTTATCAATTCCTTCAAAACCACAAGGTGCTCTATCAAATTTATCAACGCTACATGTGTAATGACTTGCATCCTTATAAAAACACCAATTAGCATTTTCTTCGTTTGTTGGCCTCCAGCAACAATTTCTAGACACGCATTCAAATTCTGTTATACCAAAATATCCACAATCATTTGATCTACTGGATATAGAACAAATATCCTTATTGGTGGTAATATTGCTGTTGTTATTATTATTATTTTCATGAAATGTTTTTTCTTGTTTTTGTTGTTTTTGTCTCCCAGTGAAGGAAGGTGTTATTGAAAATAATATTAGCCATGAAGAAACAGAAAATAATATTAAAAGCTTGATTAAAATAAAAATAGTTTGCATTTTGTTGACAATTTGTTCTCATTTATTTATTTGTTATCATTCTCTATATAGATTATACAAAAATATTGTGTCACCCACCACTTTCAATAATTTTTCTCAAAATAATTATCAATAAAAAAACTGTTCCTAGAGGCTGAGTTTAACACTAACGAAGTTTGTACGCATGGTACGCCAAAAAGCATTAGGTTAGAAACAAATGCTACTGAAACCAAACTTCCATTACATCATCCGTCATAAGAATGAATTATGCGGTGGACAAATGTAACATTACATGTGCAATTGGTCGTGAAACCAAAAATTTGTGGAGGTAGGTATTAACAAAGTCCATTTTCTTGACAAGTATTCTCTCATAAGGTGAAAAATAGAATTGATTATATTGACTTTGTTTATAATGATTGAGATTAAGAGATTAAAGAACAGGAATCTCCGAATTGTTAAATTCTGAAAATTAAGACTTTACTATACAAGAAAAAAAAGCCGCTCCTCCACAAAATTAGTTTGATCTTTGAAAGTTACCAGGCCGTTCCAATTGGTACGAGCTGACCACCAGAATTTTGGGCACGGTAGGAAGGTGGAATACATGCAGAGTTTTGATGGTAGATTATTAAGATGACGATAAGTAGTAATGGTAGGAGAAGAAGAAAATGATGATGATGATGATGATGATGATGAAAAAGATTTAAAGGATGAGAAGGAGGTAGGGGTAGGAGGAGGAGTAGATAGTAATATGGTTGTTGTTGTTGATGATGGCGGTGGTTTTTGTCTAGTAGTTAGATTCTTATTCTTATAATTTGAAATTGGATCAGAAGTCATCATTATTTATCCTCATTAAAAAATTAAAATTAATTCGTTAGCCAAATCATTAATTTTTTTTTAAAAAAAAAAGGAGTTGGGAAATTATTTATTCCAAATATTTATTTATTTTCATTCAGGGGAAAATTTTTCTGTAAAATGTCATGTGTGTTCGTTTAATAAGTTAATTTAAAAAAAGCAGTTTATTTAATTTTTATTGTTCAACACTGAGATTACTATTATTACTATTACTATTACTAGTACTTATTATTATTATTATTTATTCGATTGAAAGGATAAAATCGAAAATTTTCCGTATCACGATATCCTTCTAAAATTCGTAGTTTGTAATTTTCGTGTTAATTAATTTTTTTTATGTTTGATTTGTTGTGCTCTGCATTTTCACCCTATTTAGCAAACATTGGGTCATACGGCAAAGATTGGATTTCTTGAACGAGCGAGCGAGCGAGGCGATTGAAAAAAAAAGAGAGGGAGAAAAAGTGAGAGAGAGGAGAAAGAGAAGAGGAGAGAGGAGGGTCAATGGCTAATTATATAGAGAGAAAAACCAATGATCTAGTAAATTTTTTTCTTTTGAATATATATATTTTCATTCGTTGTTTGCGCGTGTCTGCTCTTTCACACTTTAGGAAGATGTCGTGATAAAGCTAGACTAATTTATTATAAAACATGCATGTGCGGCTTTATTTGACAGTTTTTAACGTCTGAAATTTATCATAAAAAAAAAAAAAAATACATAACAAAACTCGTAGCGCTGCCTTTTTTCCTTGTTGGAATTTTTTTTTTTTTTGCTATTTTTGGTTTTGTGTGAAAGAGTGATCTATGTTTTCCTTATGAAAATTTTTTTTTCTTTAAAAAAAGGTTGATGTATTTTTTTTACAATCAATATTTTCATTCGTTACTCGATGGATGGTGTGCTCTTTTTTTTATTTTTTTTTACTATCCGTGACTGCATCGCAAAACAAGACAATTCTTTGACAAAAATAAAAAATAAATAATAATAATAAAATTTATTGTTTATAGATAATTGTGGAGCCAAATTGATTAATTTTACAATAATTTAATGCTTTGCCATCCATGCCAACCAAATTTCTTGGGCTGTTGGCTGTAACGACCAAGATCAAAATTATTCGTGACATGTGTATGTAGCGATACCAATTTTCTACACATCTCAGCCCAAAAATAAATCACGCTTAAGGTGAAAGGACTTAAAAAATTCAATGTTACTATTAAATATGGAAGGGTCTTCGAGTACGAAATTCCTTTTGATTGTCTAATTCATTTTCACACATTTGTGAATTGCAAACAAAAAAAGGAGAAAAGTGTATGACTAAGAAAGTGAATTCTTACCTTGCGAGCAGCAGACAATACCTTCTAATGTATTAGTAAATTAATATTTAAATTTTTTACACTGGTGAAAAAAATTAATAATATTCATGGAAGAAGTCAGTTCACTAAAATAAAAGCTTGCAACCACCTCTACTGCTCCTAATATTGCCATGGCTACTTCAAATCCATCAACTTTCAATGATTCTGGTGTTCTTTAGTCAGGAATAAGATTCTCAAAAATTTCAAGCTTTCAAAGTCTATATACTCAATCATTTTCCTTGCCAAGTTATTAATTAATAGGATCTTGTCACAAATATTTGGTAAAATTTATCAAAAAAACCTCAAATGTATTAGTTGAAATGATAGCTTGATCTGAATACACATGTAATAATCTGATTCAATTTTCTGAGAAGAAAAGCAATAATATCATTGTATCAAGTACAGGTTGATGATTGGATATCCAAAGATATATTGAGGCAAAATGGTGGAAAGGATACTACTACTATATCATTAAAACTTGATTAATTGATGATATACCTTGTATAATAAAGATATTCCCCGCTAATAGCTAAGATTCCAAATGGGTCACTCAAATCTGAATTGAGGATAGTCATATTTTCAAGCAAGACCTTTTTTTATATATAGTATAAATTTAATTATTGATCACAGTGTTGGTGTGTAAGTACTATATATGTAATATGCATTCATTGGACTGGTTAAAAAGAATATATATATTTTTAACACGAAAAAACTTATAAATTTATTTTATTAAAGAAATCAATGTTTTTTTCTAAATGGCATAACAATATCTTTAACCATAAATGTGCCACCATTTTTCAAAAAACAATCTTAGATTCCTGTTTCTGTATTTTGTCCTACATAATAAAAAGGGATTTTGATCTAAACTTTTTTTTTATAATAATTCAAAAAAATGTCATTTCAAAATTTATTGTCATCATTATCATTAGACAGAGAAGATTTTGTGTATAGAATTTATTATAAAGTACATGATAATTCTGTACCAATTGGAAATGATATTTATGATAATAATTCATCAAACACATCCTTCAGAGAAATCCAAAAGGCTACATTTTTATCATTAGTAACTGAAAATGAAAAACTTTCAGAAAATGAAAAAGAATATTGTAAAGAAAGATATATTTATGAATTGGAATTAGATAATGCAACTTATAAATGGGGTGAATTAAAAGAATGTAACAATTGCAAATTAGGCAGTTACTCAGACAGATTTTGTGAAAACTGTATTTGTTTACATTTACAGAAGCTTTTTGATACATGGTCATCTGGAAACAGCATCATTGACAATTTTATTCAAGAATTTCAAAAGCTCTCATCTCTTCCTACACGTATTGTGGAATGGATCCCATTTGATCAATTTGTAGGAGTGAAATATTTAACTAAAGGAGGTTTTGGTAGCATTTATGTTGCCACATGGAAAAAAGGGAGTATATTTGACTATGATGAAAATAAAAAAGAATTTATTTATCATGGACCTCAATATGTAGCATTAAAACTATTAAATAATTCAAATGAATTGGGGAAAAAATTTTTTGATGAAGTCAGTAGTAAATTATTTTAAATTAAAAATTATATTAATCATTATATAAATTGATTTTTGTATAATTTTTCAGGCATTAAATTATTGTAAAATTAAATCTGGAGCTATTGTTTCCTGTTATGGTATAACTAAATTCCCAGAAAATAACAACTATGCAATGGTTCTAAATTATATTCCAGGAGGAAATTTAAGAGATTATTTGCAAACAAATCATTCACATTTAACTTTAAAAAATAGAATTACAATATTTGAATATTTATGTGGCTCATTAAATGATATACATCAAAAAGATTTAATACATTGTGATTTACACAGTGGTAATATTCTAGTACAAGGAAATTGGTGTTTTATCACAGATTTAGGATTATGTGGGCCAGTTGATGATGAATCATCAAACAAAATATATGGAATTATATCATATATTGCACCTGAAGTTCTTTGAAAAACAAGCAAAAATACAAAAGAATCAGATGTATATAGCATTGGAATGTTGATGTGGGAAATATTTTCAGGACATCCACTTTTTGATGATAGAGCACATGATCATCATTTAATTATGGAAATTTGTAAAGGTTTAAGACCACCAATTTTATCAAATATTCCAGAAGAATATGCAAAAATGATGCAAAAATGTTGGGATGTTGACCCATCTAAAAGACCAACTATTGGAGAACTTAATGATTTTGCTATAGATTATTCAACAAAAGTTTATAAAATTGAAGATTTAAGTAATGAAACTATAATTTCTACTACAAGCAATTCAAATAATGATAATTCACAACAAATACAAAAATCACATCCATTAGCATATCATTCAAGCAGAATATTAGATGATGATATTGCTGGATATATAAGTTTACAACATGATCTTGAACTTGGACCAATATCCAAAATAATTGATCATTCAAGCAAAATATTAGATGATAATATTGCTAAATATAAAAGTTTAGAAGATGAACTTGAACTTGGACCAGTATCTAAAGTTGTTTCTGATAATAAAAGTAATTAAATTTTATTATGATTAATTAATCAACTGAAATTTTTTAATTTTTTAATTTTTCAATTAAAATTAGATTTTAATGGTAAAGGAAATGATTTAGAAATGATGGATGATAAAATTAGCAAGATTAATGAAATTGAGAATGGAATCAAGGCAAAATATAATAATATTTAAGTAATGTTTAAGAAATGAATTATCAATGAAATTTTATGTATTTTTAAAACAGTTGAAATTAGCAATAAATCTAACAATGATCCTATTAAACTTTTTACTGGTAATTTATTTTAAGTTTCTTTTTTATTTATTATTTTTTATTTTTTATTTATAATAACTTATTTATTTTATTAATTAAATATTAGTTGAAGTTAAGGATTTGGTCACAACTGAAGGTAGTTATTATTATTATTTGGTTTATACTGTATTTTATATCCTAAAATTAAATTTTTTTTAAAATTAATTTTAGAAATTATGATGTTGGGTGAATTATCAATGGATGATTAATTATTTACATTAATATCAATTATGATTTATTATGTATTATTATTATTTATTCTTTTAAATAGCAAATAAATAAATTTTAGATTTAAATATTTTAAGAATTCTATATGTATCTTTTTTTAATACAAAAAACAAAAATTTGCCATGTCTGTCTCTTTCAAAACTTCACAAATTGATATATACTCTACATATTCATCTTTTTTATTATTGTTGCCAATTTTGTGCTGAGTTGGAAATAATCAGTTTCTTCGCTTTCTTTGCATTGCTTATAAACGAATTCCATATGGCAAATAAAGACTCCTCCAATACCAACGTTAAATCATCGAAAAGGTGAAGATATTTAGATTCCAAGCTATCCATTCTATGAATACGATGCACGACCAGGCATTTATACAAATGGTTTTTTAATAATTGAGTAAAAATAGGCAAACGCCACCACCACATCATCAACACGAAATTTTAAGGTTTATAATCAATCAAATAAAAAACACACAAAAGGATTAAACCTGTTAAATCTAAGTATGAGCAAGTAAACTAACATTTTGTGCATTATGGGAAAATTCAATAATACTTATCAAACTGGTATTAAGAGAATAGCTTTCTAATTTAAAATCCATGGGTAATCAATATGCTTATAAAGATCTCGAAAGAAAATTTTATGTGGAATATTTGTATTGTTGGAATTTCTTGAACGAAAGGCTACGCATTGATAACTATGTTTCTTTTTTTCACAGCTCACATTTGGTATTAACATGAATTTTAGACACGGATTTGACCGAGTCTTTTACAATAAAGCTCAATATCAACCATAGGCTCTTATCGAGGATCATTTTTAATAAGATCACAAAAATCATAAATAAAATCATCAGATTAAAGACTTTAAATAATTTTCTTTTCGCGTTTTAACATCTAATTAATTTCTTTTAATATTAAAAAATTACATAAAAGAAAAAAAGCAAGTGATTAAAGACACATTTGAGCAAGTATCACAACCTTTATTTCCATTTAGTTGAAGTTCTAGTTACCAAGATAATAAAAAATGTTAAATGTCTATTTTGATGGTGATAACGAGATATACATCATTTTACCTTTTTTTTGAGCAAAAGATCATTAGATAAGAACCAAAGATGTGAAGAACATCGGATTATTCTGAAAAACCCATGGACGAGAAATCTGGGGTTTTTAAATCAGAGATCATATAATTGTCACAAATTAAAGATTCTACGAAAGAAATAACATCAAGTAGCTTATATTGTTTGACATGGTATATCAAAACGGTTATTTATCGAAAAAATATCTTTCAAGCAAGATCTAGCAATGTAAGAATAAGAATGACTATGCAACAAGCGGTTTCAATTAATGAGGGTGATGATGAAAGTTTAGCCCAAGAAATTCTAAAAACAGATAAAGCATTAGGGTTTTTTATAAAGAATAAAAGACAAAACAATTCAATGAATGAAAATCCAGTTTTGTCGCAATGTTAACAGTTAATTAATAAAATAAATAATCAAAAATATAATTTCTGACTTTCCTATTTATTATATTATTATTATCGTTATACTTTTGCAAAAGGATTTTTGTTAAGCCTTAATTTAACCCACATTAAAAAGAAAGTACCAAATATGATAATAGAACCTGAATACATTATTGGTAAAAAATAAATTTCGACTCCCTCTTGATTTGTTGCTTTGGATTTACTTAAATCCAACAAAGCACCTGCAATTGGTGTACCAAAAGTTGTGCCAATTATATCAATAGCATATAAATATCCTATACTATTTGTTATCTGGTCATAGCCTACTATGTCCGTGGCAACCACCGAAAGCAATGAAACGAAACCACCAGCATTCATTCCATAAATCATAGCAAAAATTAATAAAGGTACTAAAGTTGTTGAAAATGTCCATATTAATAGTACTACGGCGCCGGATGAAAAGGTACATATAAAAAAGGTATTCTAATTTATTAACATTTTTTTTTAGGTTAAAATTTTAATAATAAAAAAGAAAATCAATCAATCCAACTTACAATTTATCAGCGCAATAAATGTTAATGTTTACTTGCTCATGCTTAGATTTAACAGGTTTGATCCTTTTGTGTGTTTTTTATTTGATTGATTATAAACCTTAAAATTTCGTGTTGATAATGTGGTGGTGGTGTTTACCTATTTTTACTCAATTATAGCGCTGGTTCCTTCTGAAATGTCAATATGTGTGGCAAATGCTACGATTATTATTGTTATGATTATTACACTAATAACTAATTATTATGCTTACATGGTATTAAGTAATATGGTACAAAAAATCCAAAAGACATAAATAAAGAAACCAAAGATAATCCAACAAATTCAGGAATTTTAAATATGCTTAAATCTAAAATCTGTTGTTTCTTTGACAACGACGACAAATCATTATTTTTATTCCTTAAATGGTAATTAGGCGGAAGGTGTATAAATTTTGTTGATATTAACAATACAATAATATAGTTCCCCATAAACCAAAAACACTTATTGTCCATTGATGACCAATGCTAGATAATAATTTGGATAATATTGGTGAATAAATCAAAGGTCCAACACCACCAGCTATAGCAATGCCGTTTGCTAATCCTCGGCGCTTAACGAACCATAATGAAGGTGTTCCAACACAATTTTTATTCCTTAAATGGTAATTAGGCGGAAGGTGTATAAATTTTGTTGATATTAACAATACAATAATATAGTTCCCCATAAACCAAAAACACTTATTGTCCATTGATGACCAATGCTAGATAATAATTTGGATAATATTGGTGAATAAATCAAAGGTCCAACACCACCAGCTATAGCAATGCCGTTTGCTAATCCTCGGCGCTTAACGAACCATAATGAAGGTGTTCCAACACATGGATAGAATGCGAGTGAACATGATATACCTCATAATAGTCCTTGAGTTAAGAATAGTTGCCAAACCTTTTTTTATTTTTATTTTTCGAAAAAATAAATTAAAAATTTTTTCGCAAAAAAATAAAAACCTAATAATAAAAATCAAAAATACTAACAGCTACGGCAAAGCTTGCTATTATATTGGAAATTGCAAAAAGTATTGTGATCATCAAAGGTTTATGACTAAACCTATCTATTAGATAGGTGAAAAATGGATCTAATGAGAAAATAGAACTTATACCTATTGACTAAGGAAGAGGTAGAAACTTGCTCGTGGAATGCATTTTTATAATAATAATTCCTCATGTATAACTATATCCACAAGTTGTTGCACTTACCATAAATGCAACAAGCACTATTACCCATCCATATCCGCCATCTGGTACTATGTGTTCTAATGATTCTGCATCCATTTTATTATTATTATTATTATTATTATTATTATTATTGGATTCAGAATCTACAGAATAAACAAGGTTTTCTTCAGATAATTGTATTTCATTTAAATATTTTGTATTATTATTATTTTCAATTTCAATAATTTCAATCGATTTTTCCGTCATAATTTTCTATCTATTATTTTTGTTTTTTAAATTTTTTTTTTTAAAAAAATTTATTCTTTTTGTATTTTTTTTTTTTTTGCTTTTTTTTTCCCATATTAATAATGTTAATGAAAAGCCTGCTAAATTGTTTTTCCAATCCCGTGATTGAAAGAAACTTTAAGTAAATAAAAATTCAAGTATACAATCGAAAAAAAAAAGAACGAATTGATGATGTTGATGTCGAATGTTGGAAATTATCCAAGCGTTTAATATTAATTAATAAATTTTAAAAATTTTTTGTATATCGTATCAGTAAAAAATAACTAATCTTTATAGTAGCATTTATTTTGCTTTACAGCATAAAACTTTTTTCGGACTCAAATTTTTACAAATAATTATAATAATAAATCATCATCCGTTGTCCTATACAAAATAACACGTTCATTGCTATTCGATTTTGTATGTATTATTTCTATGAGTGATCACGTTTTTAAAAATGACAAGCTATTAAATAAGAATAAATTCATTTGGAATATTCTAAGCTGATTTACATACATCACCTTTTCATAGTCATAATAATATTTTTGACATTCTTAGTCATATATCGTTTCAATTATTCTTCATAATGTGCATGTTCTCTATCAGGACTCAAAAATGTAAAATAGCTTTTTTATTAATAAAATATCTTCTATTTTGTTTGTAGTTTATTAACTGAACCGTTCCACCAAAATTAAACGATTTCTGGCCTTCAATCAGAAATTCAATGATTAATCACATACCTAGTTATGTCTTTGACATACCAAGAACAAATTGTGTGAGGTCTTGTATTGTAGATGATTGGATCCCATATAACTTGGTCACTTTTTTCAAAATCGAGGTATCACGAGAATTCCTTTTGTGTTATTTGTTGTGAAATTGAAACTATGTGAAATCGAAATTTATTATTATAATTAAAATTTTGGTGGGTTTTGGATATGAAATTTTGATTGGCTAATTTGAATTTCACACGTATGTGAATTACAAATTCGCAGATTTCATTTTCACATTACTTTGTAAAAAAATTTTAAATGGTGTTGCAATCAAAAACTAAATGAACGATACACATGTATAAATATATATTAGACAACCTACAGGATGTCGCTCGAAATTCGTGCATGTATTAATCCAATAAAGCATCCAAGTTTTCAACGGTTGTTGGTAAAATTGTTATATTTCATTGGGAACATTAACTATTAATTTACATATAATAGAATCATAATGTAACGATAAAGGAAATTTTTTTTTCTAATTCTTTTAATCGTTTTTTTGATTCCAATTCATCTTAATATCAAAATAATCAATCTTATCAATCGAAAAGAGCATAATTTTGTTCTTTTTGTTGGGAGCGGGCCAGTCTAAAAATATAATCAAAACTTGGCCATTTTTTTTAAATAATAATAACTAGAATAACTCTCAAATGATAAAAACGATGCTTACTCAAGGGAAGCTCCTAAACTATTTTCTTTGGTTCTTTTCTTTGCTAGTTTTCGTTGTTTTGGCTTTTCTTTTTTTTTAGACGCGAATTGATTTTTTTATTTGTAAAAAATAATTTATTTTAGATGAAAAAGTCCAAGACAAGGGAACAGGCATTCATTGACAAACATATTAGAAGTGTTATTTGGTTGACATGGTTCTGAAGAAGAGTTATTTATTTAATAACCGGAAGTACTTTTTTTTGTATTTATGCTTATTTTTTTTTTGGAATATCCTATTATTTACTAATACTAAATTGTCATAACAAATGATTGGTATGTAATCATTATTAATCAAAAACAATTACAAGAAAGTGTCAACGGTAAAGAGAGGCAGTATAACTGTTGACAACTGCAGACAATATGCAAAATTTGATCATCGTGAATTTACAGATGTTGAAGACGCTACTTTGACAGTTATTCTCATATTTTCCTCGTGTACACAAGGCCGCCTTATATTATTTTGATTATTCTAATAATTATTATTTATATAGGAAAAATTTTAATATCTATTTATTTATTATATTATTTTTAAAACAAATGATTTTACTATAAAAGACACACCTAAGTCAACAAACCTTTATAATAATGTAATTATTTGGACATTTCTTGCAACTTTTACTTGCAATGGACGCATTAAACAAATTTCTACATAAAGGCAAAATTTGACTTTGAGGGTCAGATTATATTAAAATTTGTCTCGAAACCTTTTTGAAGCAACCATCTCTCAATTTCGGTGGGGATTGCTATATAACAAGGACATTCGATTGTAAAATTTTACTATATTGTTAATATTGAGTTGTAATTCGAATAACTGACTCGCGAAGGTTTTTTAAACGTTCGTTTTAATTCTCCGCAAATATCTGAGCAAGTTTCAATACAGCCAAACCTCGTTTCAACGAATTTTAAACGTGATTAGTAATTTTGGTATAACGAATTTTAAATGTGGTATATAGTAGATTCGTTGAAACGACTGTATGCATATATTTCAGAAGATTTTTTAATAAAAGTACAATCTTGAATCTTGAATTCGAAATTTTCGAAATTTTTAGTCCGTCATAAAATTATTATTGATAATGTCCATACAATTTATTATTGTTTTATTATTGTTTTACTCTATTTAATTGTTCAATTATTTTCAATGGTATGCAAAAATCGTAAAATAATGATATTAAATTTCGAGCTGGCTCGTTCAGAGCCTTAGATTCTAATATGATTGAAACTATAAAAAGTTAAATATGAATGAATTTGTTACATCATGTTAAATTTTGTAAAAACATACTTTGAATAAATTAAAATAAATACTTGGCAATGAGATTCCGTCGTTTTCCTGGATACTTATTTGCGATATCTCATGAATAAACATTTTTACTTGGATAAAAAACTTGGTTATCATCTACATTAATATGCTTACAAAAATTACATGGAAATTCTGTTCGCCAATTTTTTTCACAAGTTCCATGATGATATAATTTCCAACCATTACACATTTCCAGATCATGCAAAAGAGCAGAAGATAAAACTGAATTAGCTAATGATAATGATAACGAGGATGTATTCGAATTCCTCAGTATTTATTATTTTTTTCAAGATTAATAGTTGCAATTGCTGGTGAAGGTTAGAAAGAGGATAAATTTAACTAAAAACAGTCCACTTTGTTTTTAATAGTTTCTCGGTAAGCAACTTGCGACTTATCCACATAACATCGCCTCCCAAAAACTTTTGATGATTACTTTCTAACCCAATCATTTACAACGGTTTGTCCATACGTTTTTCATCACTAAATTTCTTTGCAGCTTCTCAGATGGCTTTTTTTACCAATATTCAACCAACTTCAAAATAAAGATCTTGTTTTTTCTTGATTTGTGATTTTTTTACGATCTGATTTATATTATGACCAAGCAAAAACCCTAATACTAACCATAAAAAATTTCAGTTCAAAAATTTCCCATACGTGCTGATTGGCTGATTTGAATTTCGCGCGTAATCATAATGACATCACTTTAAACATTTATCACATGCGAATTATATAAATGGACTAAACATTATGTCGTACTAACATTGTGATAATTCCAACATATAAATTCCCAGGATCAATAAAAAAAAATTTCCTAAACATTTCTTTATAATAAGATAATCAT